TCGAGCCGTGGAAGATGAGAATCCGCCAAGCTATTCCAGTCAGAAAGCTCGATAGGCCTAAGCTTTTACAGGTTATCAGGCACTTCTCATCACGTAATCTTGTTACAACCGCGAAGCCCACAACCTCCCCTGCAATCACAGGCGAGGCTCTCCGGGACTGTGTGATTTCTTCTCAGTGGCAATTCATCAAACAGGTTTTGCCCGAACTTACGCCCACCTTGGTCTCCTCCACCCTCTCAAATCTCCGCTCATCCCCAGGCCACGTTCTCGAATTCATTCAAAAGCTCAGCCCCAAGTCTCTCGACATTGACTGCTACTGCATCGCCATTTCAATACTCTCTCGCCTTCCATCACCACATCAAGCAATACAGCTACTCAAGCAAGTAGTCAACTCTCGCACTGCGACGCAAAGAGAGATTTTTGATGGGTTAATGAGTGCTCGAGAGAAGTTGGAGATAAAGAGCACGATATCTCTGGATTTTCTAGTGCGGGTGCATTGTGAATTGAAGAAATGCGACGAGGCATTGAAGTGCTTCTACTTGATGATAGAGAAGAGGATTTTGCCCAAGATTGAGACTTGTAATGCATTATTGAGTTTGTTTTCCAATTTGAATAGGATTCAATCAGTGTGGGATGTGTTTGGTCAGATGTATAGGTTGGGGATTAATTCGAATCTCTGTACATTTAACATAATGATCAATGTGCTGTGTAAAGAAGGGAACTTGAGGAAGGCTAGGAAGTTTGTTGAACAGATGGAGGCTTTAGGATTCGAGCCAAATCTGATAACGTTTAATACTTTGATAAATGGGCATTGTCAGAGGGGTGATCTCAAAGGAGCAAGTAAACTTTTGGAGGCAATGGAAGCTAAAGGGGTTAAACCAGATTCATATACATACAATTCTCTGATCACTGGGTTGACAAAGGAGGGGAAGGTTGAGAAGGCTTCTGTTCTTATCAAGAAAATGGATGAATCTGGCATTGTCCCAACAGCCGTGACTTACAATACTATGATTAATGTATACTGCAATAAAGGGGATCTAGAAAGGGCATTTGCTAGTAAGGATGATATGGTTAGGAGGGGGATAATGCCTACTGCAACTACCTATAACTTGTTGATTCAAGGTTTGATTCTTGAAGGGAGGGTATCAGAAGCTGATGATTTAATGAAAGAGATGAGAGGGAAAGGGGTGGCTCCTGATGTTATTACATATAATACATTGATCAACGGCCATTCCAGGGCAGGGAATGCAAAAAAGGCTTTAAGTGTCCGTGATGAAATGTTGAGTGGAGGTATTGAACCTACACTTGTTACTTACACTTCACTTGTTTATGTCTTGGGCAAGAGGAATAGAATGGGGGAGGCAGATGATTTGTTTGCAAAGATGATACAGAGAGGAATTTTGCCGGATCTTATAATGTTCAATGCGTTGATCGATGGCCACTGTGCTAATGGAAATGTGGAGCGTGCAGTTTTTCTTTTGAAGGAGATGGATAGGATGAGTGTTATTCCTGATGAAGTTACCTACAATACTTTAATGCATAGGTATTGTAGGGAGGGTAAAGTTGAAGAAGCTTGTAAACTTCTTGATGAGATGAAAAGCTGGGGAATCAAACCTGATCACATCAGTTATAACACTCTAATCAGTGGGTACAGTAGGAGAGGCGATATGGAGGATGCATTTAGAGTACGAGATGTGATGCTAGGTTTAGGATTTAGCCCCACCCTTCTCACCTACAATGCACTTATACAAGGCTTATGCAAAACCAAGCAAGGTAATGCTGCTGAGGAACTTCTCAAAGAAATGGCTAGTAAAGGCATTACTCCTGATGACAATACATATCTTTCTTTAATTGAAGGGATTGGGGATGTTAATGTTTTCTTGGGGAAACAAGATCCATTATGAATATCTTACAGTTTACCTTTTATGAGAAGGCAAGCAAATATCTAATGTGAATGGTCATTGATGCCAAAATACCAAAGCCTCTATAGGTATTGCCTTCAGTGATTCTCACATCGGCTGCTTTTGCTATCTCTAAGCAAGATCCCTCGTGTATTTGAAATATGGGGTATACTATATCCAAAGGCAGTGGAGGTAAAGCAAGATGAAACACTACTCCACTTTAAAGAGCTTCACATTGGTGGCCCTTCAAATTAAGGCTATCCTGTTCTTGAATATTTAATGGCAAGGGTCCTTGTAAGACAGTACAGGGAACTCCAGCTTTGTTCAAGCACCAGAAGGAACACTGATCATCACATCATGTTTAAGTGAAGCTAAAGGACATATGCAGAATATAGGCAATGATATTTATCTTTCAGCATAAAGATGGTATCTTTTTAACAAAAGCCATTTGGTTATGCTAAGAAATTTCTTCTACAAATTGTATTGCATGACTTTGTCATCACCATGTTACACTGATTTCAAATATTCATATTATAATTCAGGGCAATGACATTCTCTATTCAATTTGAAGTTTGAGTATCCATAACTCTTAGAGTTAATTCCAGAAATAGTCTCTTGACTATTGACATTTATCAATTTTTATCCCCGACTTTCAATTGGACCATAAATTGTTCCAAATTTGCTGGGTTTATCTTAGAATTCTATGATGACCTCCTAAATCAGCTTGTTTTAATCAAGAAAAGCAGGTTATCTAACATTGTGTGGCTAAAAGTTTTGCAGGAGTAGATGAGAAAGAGAGGCAAAGATATCTTAGTTATATATATGTTGCCCCAACAGAACAAATATACAAGACAAAACATGGAACCAATTCAAAAGCACATTGACCTTGATTATTGAAAAAGAACTCTGAACCAACCACCAGACTTGCCATAACTTCATTCTTCAGATTCCTCCAGGTAAGCTTCAACTCGGAGGAGGACGAAACCGACAGCGACTCCAACAAGAACAAGGCCAGGGATTATGGCAGCAATCCTGAAAATCTCGGCGATGGCATTGCAGCTTGCAGAGAGAGCTCCACCGCCATTACCCTTGCCTCGTGGTCTCAGTGAGCTTACAATCTTTGCAAACGAGTGGTCAGCGCAAACAGGGACGCCTAATGCGGCAACATGGTTATGCGCCTTGAGGCCTTCAAATGAATTCAGCCCTCTAATGTACCTCACTTTGGTGCTTCTTCTCTGGGAAAACCTGTTGGTCTTTGCGGCGACAACCATCGCCGCGGGTGAAAGGGTAGCCGAGGCTGATGCTGCTGCCGTAGCCATTATTTTCTGCTCCAAAACCTGTATGAACAAGACAAGAATGTGAACAATTACTTGTACTGAAGAATTGCATATATGCCTAAAGAGAAGAGAAGAGAAGAGAAGAGTTTTTATGATTATGTTACCTGTTTGGGATGGCTTGTGGATTGCTCTAAGTTTGCCAAAGTAGAGAGATAATAAAAGAGTGAACATGGTACACTGGTGTGAGGAGAGTGTGAGAATGAAATCAATGAATGGATAAGGGGTTGATGAGGTGGTTGTCTGACTAGCTCACAGATACAAGTGGATTAGTAGATAAATTTTTACTTTAATTGTTGTCCAGGCAACAAGGAGTGGGGCAGGGGCTAAAACCATACGAAAGAGTATATCAATTTTTTTTAGTACATCTTACAATCGTTTAGGGTGTATTTGGTTCATAGATTTACACATTATAAATGAATCATAGTTAGTGTTTGGTTAATAACTTTTTAAAATCAAATATGAGATTTGATTACCCCTTCAATTAAAAATCTCATTCTTTAATTAAAAAAGCGTATCATTACATCTTATTGATAATCTAATTTTTAATTTTGGATTATTACTTTTAGATTTTTTGCTTTTTTTTTTTTTTTTTTTGTGTGTGTGTGTGTGTGTGTGCATATTGATGCTTTGGATGTCATTATATTAGGATCAATTACCTTGATTTTTTGTTTTTGTATTTTAAAAACATTTATTCTCATTTTAGGGTCATACACAACCAAACATAAATATTGGTAATCATTCAAATTTTATCCTACTACCAAACATGTAAAATAATTTTTACCAAAATTCATTACTATTACCAAGTATTTAATTCTCATTTCGATTCTGATTACCATGTGCAAACCAAACATGTAATTAAAACATGTTTCTGGGTGATGAGGAAATCATGCTCCTATGCTCAATAGGTAAATTGCAAGAATCGGACTTGTAATTACATTTAGGTAAACTGAAAGAGTATATCAAATTTGTAATTACGTTTCACCTACTCAACCAACCATTAATATTTTTTTATATGGTGTTGATTGACGATGGATACCGACAAAATTTTGTACAATTGTTGTTTAGTGTGAAAATTTGTAAAATTTATCACTAAATCATATTATTTAGTACATACAAATAATGTTTCCAACATTGACTTAGGTAGTACTTGATACAATTAAATATAATATGTCTAATTATGCTGAGTATTGTTGATATCATACAAAATTACATTTTTTAAAAACAACATAATAGAAATAATATGTGGTCACAAAATCCTATATATTTGTTTACTTATTTTTTTGGGAGGGAGGGGAGGGGTAACACAGCTAGTTTATATTTGTTTACTTGTTGATTGTAGTATGTGTTAGTTGATTTGATCAATTAATTGCATTAATTATTTGTACAAATATATCATTCCTAAATTTCTATTGTTTCTTTAAAGTGCTATGATCAAATAATTCAAACAAATATAGTAAATTGAACTAGATTCAATAATATAAGAACATCCACTCGCACATGGTTTCCTCCATAACAAAGGTAGTTTTTTATATAGAAGAAAGGAAAAAAAAATGAGAAACACTCCAATATGAAAGACAATGATCTTTTTTTTTTTTTTTTTTTTTTTTTTTCTTTTTTTTTTAAAAGATAATTATGATGATAAAGCCCCAAAAGGATAGTCGGTGGGTGAAACATCTCTAGTGCAGATTTTCTTAATCTAACAAAACTATCCATTTTCAAACTTATTTACTCGTTGTGTCGGAGCTTTTGATTTTTTGTTGGATGATTCAAAGTGCTCCTCTGCTCCAAATGATCTGGGGACTTTCTGCATCAAACACGTATCATATGATCATATCATTGTTCTAAAATGGGGAAAAAATGAATAGAACATGCACACACAAACCGAGTTCATTGTAATATATGTTATAAATTCGTTGCGTAAATGGTTGAGCTTACTAAATAAAGAGACTTGCAAACATTGCAACTTTTGAGATGGCTTACATATCCAGGATTCTTGGAACAGCAGCCCTGAAATGAAATGATGATGATGCTGTCTGAGGAGGGATCAATGGCTGCTGAACATGAACATCTCTCTCCAAGCCATTCACTTTGAAGATTCTTACAGAGAAAACCATAGCTCCATCATACCTGAACAACAGAAACTCATTTTCTTTCAGGGAGTTATCTCGATGGAAATCCTTCCAGCCTTGGTGCATAAACAGGCCGTCTTCATTTCTTTCCAACTTTACATGCCATGTTCCAGCTCCTGATGAGTCGCCCTTTAGCACTACACTTTCTTCATCTTCTTCAAGGTGCTTCTTAACAAAACATGGAGGGATTCTCTGCAAGATCAGAAGAAATCATGTCACATGGAAAAGTTTTACTTAAAAGAAAATGACAGGGAAACATACAGAGTCTGAAGAAATGGAGTAGATGCAGAAGATTACCAGAAAATCAGTAGTGAGGGGAGCTTTGACAAGCTGGAAGAAGGAAGGTCCCTCAGTTGTGAGTTCTTCACTTTCTTTCTTCTCCATTTTCTTGTATGAAAGACTTGGAAGAGAGACCATTTATGAGATGGAATCTAAAATGAAATAAATGGACCACCTCTAGTATGCATTTGTTTTATCTTTATCTTAGCTCGAAGCATCTTTGTATGCAAACGAAGTAAAAAGGTAAGAAGTTTAACATCTTATTCAATATAATGAACATCCAAAATAAATTCCCAAAATGAAGCATTTCCAAAAAGGGAGTATTTCCTACAATAGAAGTAGGAAAAACCCCAACCACACTTTCATAAAAGGTGTGCCAAATGTCAATTACATTCATAACCTTAAATGGAGCATCTTAATACATTTCAAAAACAATGCCATGGCATGGTCAAACTGTCCTAGATGTCTAGCTCTAAATTGCACTGATGATTTTCATACTGCAGAAAATATCAATCAGTTACTAAGCTTTGCAAAAGATTATCACCCAAATCCAATACCTGACTCACTATATCATTAAGGGCTTAATGATACCAAAATACTAGATATTGCTTAATCCTATACTTCAACCAAACTGATTTCATCACACCGATTTGCATTATCTAGCACAGCCCGAAATATGTGCACCTTGAACACAAGGTTATCATCCTGAAGGTACTTGATCAGCTCAAAACCACAAGCATCTCCTGCTGCTAAATTTTTCTCCCTAACAAATGCTGCCCATCCTTTGCTTAGAACGCAAGGCTTCTTAATCCATTTTATATTCCAACTATTCCCGTCAGAATCTTGAACTTCAACATTTTTTGGAATAATGGGAAGATGCTCCTTGGCAAATACAGGTGGCATGTGCTGCAGATTAAGATGAAATTACATGAACACATCAATGCCTATGTTAAACGTTGCTCTCATTAACAAGTATAGACTGCATAAAGCAAGGAACTTAACTCATTAACAGTAAATAATTTCTTTAGATTGTCAAATAAAGCAGAGAAGTCTTACCAGAATACAGCTGCTTGTTATGTTATATTCTTTCAAACTGACAGTAAAATAAGGATTGTTTGGTGCCAACATTTTTGCATCTCTACTTGCCCTTTCTTTTTCCTGGGCTGTAGCTTGTCTTTGCATAATATGCTTGGAAGAGCGTTTGCTAGAAACAGATCTCCGTTTCTTTTCTTGCTTTATATTTGATCCCTCGCTATCTGCAAGTAATGACAATAGCAGTCACTGAATGATGCAAACATGTTTCAGACACAACTTGAAAGCCTGAATAGTAAACAAACCGGTCTTGCAATTTGGAAAAATTGGAGACAATCTGTCAGCACTGTTTGATTTTCCATCATCACTGACCAGAGTGCCTTTTTTACCTGAAATTTGTTGGTTATTTGCATTCTCCACAATCAGGCCAGCAGAATCATTGTTATGTCTACTCTCACTGCCCAGAAGTGATTTGGCAAAGACTGGCTTATTAGAATAGCCATCATCAGGCACATTTTCTGCACCTGATATGCTCCCCTCCTCACCAAACATTTTCCCTTTGCCTCGCGTTCTATAGGAACTTTGAACATTTACCCATCTAGTGGCAGCTCTCTGTCTCTTGCATCCACTTCCAAGTCCAGACAAATCAGCCAAGTTCTCATGAACTTGATTACACTTCAGGTCATCCAATTGTTTGACAGTTCTGTTGCCATCATCACTACCACCACAATCAGAAATGCCAACACACTTTTCCTTTGTAAACTGCAGATCCTGACTGATATGAGTGGATCTTTCTGCATTAGCATTAGTACTAGGCAGGTCCCATATCTCAGTAGCAGTCATGTCAAACAAATGCACATCAAAACAGCAACTCTTTCTATATATGAAGAATAAAAAGTACCCAATTCCAATAGAGTAATACTCCATAAATTTTCGCCAACCATCAGTAAACAATACCCTTTTCCCAACCTTCTTCAAGCTCACACACCATTCATCACCAGTATGAACAGTAAGCTTAACCTCGCCAGAGAGACGATGTCCATATCTCTCCACAAATCCATCAGGTATCCTCTGCATGCATTAATAACACATTTAATTTAACCAGACAAAATAAAGACTCACCCCATCATATATATAACTGTTGGTTAAATTATGTTAGTGACCCCAACATGTAATCATCAGATGTTGTATTGATCTTCCCGAGCTACTTAGCTCGGCAGCCACCCCACTGAGCTAGCTACAGCATCCGAGGGTTAGTCTATTTTCTCCAACAATAACAATATATACTTAGTGTCTCGTTCAGTTTCTTATGCTCTACTCCAAAGGTTCAACCATGACAAAATGCAAAGATATTAACTACAAATAAGACTCCAATTTAAGCACAGTTTACAGGCGCAGTTTTAAATGATCGGAAACCTTAGGAATCGAGCTGAATACCGAGAGTACTTACAAGTTGAGGCTGATCGAAGACGGAAGGCGTAATAATCCGATAAAAACACGGACTAGAAGAGCAAGGGAGGGTTGGCATTGCTTCTGATCTCCCTCTAAAGTCTAAAATCTACCGGTGCTATGATCTGAGAATCAGGTATCCCCGGGACTGGGAGGTGGTTTCCGGCAGCGGAGTTGAGTGGTCTTCAGCTGAGGAGGTGCTTTGACAGAGAGATTAAGGCGAAGACTGGAAGCTTTAACAGAGAGAAAGCTTTGAGAACTCCATCGCTGGATTGAGCTAGCATTTCAAACCCGCCCAAATTTCCAGTGTCCCGTTACTCCGTTTTAATTTTCAATAGCATCTGGCGGATAAGATGGCACATTATGCCATTATGGTACTGAAACCATGTTTTTTTAGAATTGTACGGAAAATGTTGATTTCTATCCTATTGAATAGTATTTTTAATGTATGAAGAGTAATAATACATGTTGATAAGTTATATACCCCAGGTCCGTGCCATCGCTTACGATCGGGTCGGGGTCTCTCGGTTCGGGTCTTGGCTTACGGGTCGGGGTCAAAGGCGACGGGGCAAACCCGAGATGGGTCAAACCCGAGATGGGTCAAACCCGCCGCCTCGGTGGGCCTTTAAAAGGGCCCAAAGCCCTTTGAGGGGGGGATCTTTGGCCCATTTGGAGCGAGGATCTCTCGGCTCTCTCTCTCTATTCTCTCCCCCTTCTTCCCTTTCTCTAGAAATGCAGAGACAAACACACAAAACAGGAGTTTAATAAAAGAGGGATTTGAGCTATTTCTTGTGTTGTTTCTTGTTGTTTATACATATACATATTCATCCAGTACAAACACCCTGCTATACGGGGGAATTAGTACTATCAAATGGCGCCGTCCGTGGGGATCCGAGCAAAGAGCTCCGTTCCTATCATCAAAGCAAAAGCTACACAACGAGCTGCTGGCCTAGTAAGATTCTGGAAATGGAGTGCAAAATTGATTTGTTGATTGGTTCTGGAGCTAGGAGGATTTGAACCCAGGAACTCAAGCAACAAAACCAGCACTCTAACCTCTCCACCACTCTACTCATTCAGTAAGAGACTGTTTTCCGCCTGATCATCGACGTTTCTGCAAGATCATTTCCTTCAACAGCAGATCAGCGCAGATTGGTGGCGGATGGACTCTTCTTTGCCTCATGCAAAAAAGAGATGGGCAGATCTTGGAAGCCTGAGGAAGACCAGGTGTCCCATCCGTTCCACACAAACACCCTGCTATACGGGGGAATTAGTACTATCAAATGGCACCGCAAAAAGAGGCCATGCATGCCGTTCACTGGACGAGTAGGAACGAAGCAAATGAGTGCGAAGATGCACGCCGCTTCCATCACCGCTGCGACTGTCACGGGAGAATAGCTTCATCATATCATGCCGCTATCGTTGCCACCCATGCATCGCGGGACGAGAGTCTTCTGCTGTGGGGAACTTAGATCGCCGGCAAGGTGTTTCTAGAAACCACAGATAAGTCATCTTCTTCGTCCTCCGCCATTTCGTTTTTATTTTATTTTATTTAATTAAAACAAATGGCAGGGCAGGGCTCTATAGACGCCGTCATCGATTAGTTCGAACGACGGTGTAGCGCATGTCCAGTAGCTTTGGTTCCATGCAGCGCTCGGAGATTGGCACCAAGCTTCCTCATCAACCCACTTGAAATTATGAACTCTCAAAAGTAGGAGGGAAACAGACAGAGACGACCGGAGCTCTCCAACACCATTGCCGATAAACATCACCGCCCGCCGTTCTCGCCGGGGATCCTAGCTCCGCCGCGCCGTCTCTCTGTCGCAACTTTAGAACCGCCGACCACAGCCACCGCCACATCTCTTCGACGTTCGGTGATGATCAGGTCCATTCAGGGTGCGAAATAGATTTCTACGGTAGTCTCAAAGCTTGGATTTAGGGAATGGCAATGGCTTAATGTTGCATGCAATCCTATTGGGGGGTGTGTGGCGGTGAATTATGCAATCCAAGAAAGTGGATAGAGAAAGGCATGAGGAAGTGGTGTTAACATACATTAAAAAAGCAAATGCAAGACATGGTGGCCTTTGGAATGCGAAAAAAGGCTGAAATGCAGTATTGCATGCATCCTGATTTGTTACATACCGCGGTGGAATGTAGAGATCCAAGAAAGTGGAAATTAAGTAGCAAAGAAAATAGAAAGTGCGTGGTGCATGCACTTAGAAAAATTGTATTAGTCAGGTCCATAAATTAAAATGGGCCGTTACATTTTAGATACCAAGTTGTATGGGCCCAACTACAAACTGTATAGGTTATGGGCCTATACCTAGAAGTTGTAATAAGACTATTTGTAATAAGTCCGGTTAGGTTGGTATTTCCACCACCGGCACCCCAAGCCCGGTTAGGTTGGTATTCCCACCACCGGTACTTAGAGCCCGGTCAGGTCGGCCTCGCCACCACCGGCGCCCTCCGTCGCCACCACCGGCATTGTTAGGCCCGGGAAAAGCCCCGGCACCAAGCCCTACCACGTAGGCAAATTTGGGTCTCCGGACCAATCGGACGACGCTCCAACGAAGATCGAAGACGGGCTCCTCGCCCAACACACCTCTCCCTCGGTTCCGACCGATAGCGGTGTCCAAAGATCGAAGACGGGCGCCTTGCCCAACACTCCTCTCCCTCGGTCTCCACCGATAGGGGTGTGCCCTCGGGCTCTAGTAGCCTCAATTCTGCGGCTCTAATAGCCGACTGAACCTTGACCGGGCGAGGCAATCGACCGGTCATATCGCCGATTGGGGAGGTCGACACCGCGGCATATTCCCCGATCCGCCCGTTCCTCTCCAGCACTGCACTCACTCGTGCCCCGAGCGCGCACAGTGGGGGCTAAAGAGGGAGGGAGTGCCACAGGTCCCATGCTCGGGAACACCCCAAGCAGCGGGCCCTAGTGAAGTGTTTAGGCCCACACTCGGGGACCCCCCGATCGAGGCGGCCAAACAACAGTTGAAGCAAGCCCAAGTCGAAGAAAGGTTCCAAGGCCCACGAGTCGGGAACTACAGTCTGGGCCCAGGGTCGGGAATATCCCGTCTTAAACGGCCCACCCAGAGATCGAAGACCACGCCCTGAGTTGATCCGGCCAGTAATTTCACTGTCACACGCCCTTATACATAAGTGCGTCCGACAGTGGGGGGCTGGACAGGGTAGGGCGGCGGTCGATTGAGGAGCGGCCGGGTCAGATCGTCTGCTCGGATAACATACTGATATGTGGGTCGCCTGAGGCCATACGCCCGGTCGGCTTACTGGTATGTGGGTCGCTTGAGGCCATGCGCCCGGTCGGCCTAGAGCGGCCGGTTCAACCCGTCTGCCCAGGTAAGGCGATGCTGGCGTGGGGGTCGCCTGGAGGCTTTTAGCCCGGTCGTCCAACGCGCTTTTCCACCTCGAGCAGGTCGGCACTGCCACCTCCGACGAGAAGGGAAAGTGAGCCACGCGCCTTGTTAGACCGAGTAGGTTGGCGTTGCCGCCTCCGGTGTTTCTAAAGACCAGTTAGGTCGGCCTCGCCACCACTGGCACTCTATGACTGGTTAGGTCGGCATTATATTGCCACCACCGGGGCTATGAGTCCGGTTGTACCGGGTGATACCGCTTTTTAGCGATGCCGCTTTTCAGCGATGTATTCCGCTTCTTAGCGATGCCGCGTTTTAGCGATGATATTTCCGCTTTTTAGGCGATGCCGAGCGATGTGCTTGTTCCGCCTCTTAGCGATGCCGCGTTTTAGCGATGATATTTCCGCTTTTTAGGCGATGCCGAGCGATGTGCTCGTTCCGCCTCTTAGCGATGCCGCGTTTTAGCGATGTTGTTTCCGCTTTTTAGGCGATGCCGAGCGATATGCTTGTTCCGCCTCTTAGCGATGCCGCGTTTTAGCGATGATATTTCCGCTTTTAGGCGATGCCGCGCGATGTGCTTGTTCCGGCTCTTAGCGATGCCGCGTTTTAGCGATGTTGTTTCCGCTTTTAGGCGATGCCGTGCGATGTATTTACCCCGCTTCTTAGCGATGCTGCTTTTCAGCGATGTGTTTACCGCCTTTTGGCGATGCCGCTTTTAGCGATGTGTTTACCTTCTTTGTGCGATGTTTTACCGCTTTTTCAGCCATGTGTATGTACCGCTTGTTAGCGATGTCGTGCCCGATCGTCGACACGGTAGTTGTAGCTGGGTGCACTTACGTCGCGGACCCGGTCGAGTCATTTCCCGACCGCGGTGTCGTTTCCCGGTCGGAAACCCGTCGTATCCACTCCTTTGTGTTGACAATTCTCACACCCGCGAGAGTGGGGGGCTGCACTGGCCCGAGCAGCTCGTTTGCGTTTTAGTTTGCCCGATTAGCACATTCGTCGGTCGAAACGGTCGAATCGCGTTCGCTTCGCCCAAATAACGTTTCGCCCGAATGAATCCAGTCTCTCGGTCACAAGCGAATCTAACCCCATAGTTGGTTAGTAGATATCCAGATCGCAATCGAATCGACAACCCAGTCGTGCCCGGCAATCCAGTCGCGAGCCGGATGGGCTCGGCCTTTCGCAAGTTGCGTTGCGAGCTCGACCTAGTGGTCGGGCGCTCCCTTTTGGTCCACCGGACTATGTCTGGGCGTTGCACTCTTTTTTCCTTTGGCTAAAGTTTTTCCCACTGGGTTTTTTATTAGCCTAAGGTTTTTAACGAGGCAACCGGCATATGTCACGGACCGTGTGACCCGTTTTTTCCAGCCCGAACCCTTCTTCCTCGTTAGCTCGTCGTCAGGGCACGGGCTGTGGGGGCTTTTGATAAGTTATATACCCCGGGTCCGTGCCATCGCTTACGGTCGGGTCGGGGTCTCTCGGTTCGGGTCTTGGCTTACGGGTCGGGGTCAAAGGCGACGGGGCAAACCCGAGATGGGTCAAACCCGCCGCCTCGGTGGGCCTTTAAAAGGGCCCAAAGCCCTTTGAGGGGGGGGGGGGGGGCGGGGGGGGGGGATCTTTGGCCCATTTGGAGCGAGGATCTCTCGGCTCTCTCTCTCTATTCTCTCCCCCTTCTTCCCTTTCTCTAGAAATGCAGAGACAAACACACAAAACAGGAGTTTAATAAAAGAGGGATTTGAGCTATTTCTTGTGTTGTTTCTTGTTGTTTATACATATACATATTCATCCAGTACAAACACCCTACTATACGGGGGAATTAGTACTATCACATGTATTTTCATTTTTACTTCATTTTGTATTTTTTGTGTTATTATTTAATTGGTATACGTGACGGGAGTTTATACTCTATAGGTGTACATATAACATTTTTCATGTATGAAGAGGGTGTTTGGTTTAGATAATCGTGTCATATTTTTTAGGGAAATGGAAATATATAAAATTCTCATATTTGATTTAAGCTTTGTAATTTTTTTTGAAAAATTGTAACATAACTCACATAAGATTTTTAGCTATTGAAACGAAATGTGAGATATTTCACATTTCTTAGATATTCTTATATTCTATTTTTTTATTGTTAATTTTGTCATTTAGAAAAAGATAAAGGAAAATGTTACATGTACTTTCATTTTGTACTCCCAATTTATATTCTCACACACAAAATTTTGATATGGGTATTAAGACGCACATGAAAAAATAAATTATCAGAATCTGTCATATCACGGAGTAAAATTTAGGGAGTAAGATTGGAAAGTGCATATACTATAACTCAAAGATAAATTCAATAATCGTCGCCTAATTGGGCTTACAATAATCTCCGTATGATTGGGCTAAAAGCCCACTTATGGCGCAGTTGTTATTTGTTAACTACCAGCTCCACCTCCCAACTTCCATAACCGTTTCAGGAAAATAAGAAAGATCGCCCTTCTTGATCACCTCATCTGAAAACAAAATCCCCATACGCCCATCTTCTCGAATCGTGAAACGTTTTCGTCAGGTAAATTAAACCTCTTTTTAATGTTAACATTTTTCTTAGTATCTCCTGAACCTTACCTCTTTGCCCTCAAATTCCAGTTCCGCCATTGATTGTTAGCAATAGTCGTGTAAAATCAGTGTATAGTATAAGTTGGTACAATAATTTTCAGATTTCTGGTTCATGTTATATGTGTTTACAGCCCTTTTATTGGTTCTGAAATATATGGTTATGGATATAGAGTAGTAGTACTGTGTATGATCTGTAGCTTGAATTTCAGAAGGTGGGGATGGCAGCCATGGCGGCGATCAAAGTGGTGACGCTGACAATGGCCATAATAAGCTGTGTATATGCCGGCAGCGACGACACAAATCCTGTATTTGATCCATGTTCAGATGCAGCGGTTCAGAGATGGGATGGTTTTACATTTGGTCTGGTGTTTTCTTCCAAAGATTCCTTCTTCTCCAACCAAACCCAGCTTTCTCCCTGCGATCGCCGCCTCCCCCTTTTCGGTTCTCCTGCTCAGCTTGCGGTTTTCAGGCCGATGGTCGATGAGATTTCACTCCTCACCATCAACAACTCCCTCTTCAATCCAGTAAGTCCGGAAAACACGTCTATTGACTTTATTGGTTTGAACCAATTAATTATGTACAATTTATACTGGTTTAACTTATTTTGTGGTCCAGTTAAGGTTACATGCAATGCCTTTTAACTATGTACAATTATATTTATGATGGTTTAGCTTATTGTGGTCCAGTTAAAATTACATGCATCTATCAGATAATATCTTCGAGTTTTCCTTTGTCACTCAAATAAAAAAACTAGTTGTCTATTATGTGATGACATTTTTAGGAGTTTTATTATATGTAATTCTCATTCTTATTTTCTCAAATTTACTTCATGATGTGACAGACACTAATTAATGAATTATTATTTTTATGCGAGTCCTAATAAAAGTGTTAGGAGTAAAGAATGAGAGTAAACATAAGTTCTCTTTTGGTAAAATAGTTAGATCAGTCAATTTTAACTTATTTGATCATTATTAGTTGTTTAACTTGGTTAAACAATCAAATATAAGTGTTTGATTAATTTGTTTTTATAACAATTTATTGTTCTAAAATGCTAAAATTCAAAAAACTGTTTAAAGTAGCTTTTGATATATTGTTTGAGAAAGTCATTTTGTACGTATGTAATCAGCTAAGTAGCTAATAGTTAACAAATAATTTACCAAACCTTTTTCTACAATCAACTAATATTATCAACTAGTCAAACAGAGTAACTCAATAAGCTAATAATAGCCCTTTACGCCACACTCCTATAACACTTTCCTATTTTTAGTGGTTTTTTTTAATGCTTTCTCAGGTCTTTTCCGGTGGTCATATGGTGGCATTTGCCGGGCGAAAATATGCGGCCAGGTCTTTCCCAGCTTTTGTTGCCGACGTTAGTAACACCGTTACCAGCCACACCCTGGTAATTACACCGTACTAAGAACTGTTTCGTTTTAGTTTTGTCGTCTTAAATATATACTATAAGCGAGCGTTAATTAATAACGTAACATTAGATAGTATGTAGTTTTATATAGAGTAAATACCAGCGGAGGTCCTCTGACTTTGGTGGCACTGCCACATTTAGTCCTCAACTTTTAAATCAACCACTCTTAGTCCTCTTACTTTTTGTTTCTAACCAACTATGGTCCTTCCGTTAAACTTGACCATCTAATGCCATTTTCTCAAGGATAATTCAGTCCTTTCATAATTAATTTATTAGTTATTATGTTTGCCGAGTCATACCGAGATATCCCGACGTCGTTTTGGCACAACCTTCGTATCAGCTTTTGTACGCCATTTTGATTCACGAGCTGGTTTTGTACACGTTCATAGCTGGGAAACCATTGTTTGACTATTCTGATGAGGAAATTAAACATAATAATTAATAAATTAATTATGAAATTACTGAATTATCTTTTAGAAAACGGCATTAGACGGTCAAGTTTAACGAAAGGACCACAGATGGCTATAAACAAAAAGTAAGAGGACTAAAAGTGGTTAATTTAAAAGTTGAGGACTAAAAGTGGCAGTTCCACCAAAGTCGGAGGACCTCCGCCGGTATTTACTCTTTTATATATGTTGATGCATGCAGGTTGTTGAATTTCAGAAAGGCATCCTCCAGAATCTGTATTGGAAGAAATTTGGGTGCGTTTCTTGCATCGGAAGTTCTTTGGTTTGCCTTAATCAGACTGATTGTGCAATAAAAAACAACAAGTGTCATGGCTATGGCGGGGACACCGACTGCAGCATTAGCATACAGTTGGCGTTTTCAGGCACAGACAAGAACGATGATGTTCTCAACTCTTGGTACGAGGTGAAGAATCTCCGACAATACTCTCTTTATGCACTCTACTCTGGTCTTAGCAATTCTATCACCAGTCCATTTAGCAGTCTTTTTTGAGAAATTTGTATGGATGTAAACTCTTGTATGTGTTTAATTTGTTCATGGAGCTATTATAAAGGCCACATCTTTTTAAAAATGAATTATACGGTCTTTTTTTTTTTTTTTTTTTTTTGGTGTAATTACACTTGCTAATAGTAACTCTATCTTGCAAACAACATGAACAAATTTATGACCCTGCACCCAGCAAGGTTCTTGCAAATCAAATTACCATTAGGTAACAAATTAAACATGTTTTTAGATGCATATAAGACATGCATGACAAGGCAACTCCGATCCTATGGAGTTGGTCAAGTAATTGATTCGATCAGCGAAGCCAAGAATTCTATTGAATCGGAGCGAAGAAGCAAGGACGGGTCCATAAATTTTTTCAAGTGAAGACCAAACATGAAAATAAAAGAGATAATTTGAAAAATAAATAAATAAATTATCCAATAAATATAGATATAAATATTGTTGGATATGAGTGAAAAATAAAACACATCAAAATTTTATAAAAATATTCATAACAATTTGATAAAATAATTTGAATAGGTAACACATTATAAATTACACGCCTTATTATTAATATAAAAGAATGTTATATATATATATATATATAACCTTTATTATTATAACTAAACATATGCTCTACCGTGTTCATCCCTATTTAATACAATGGTGAGTAGGTTGCTGATACAATTACAAATTCACTAACTCAATCGAAAATATCATTTAATTAGTAAAGTGTGAAATTTTATATTTATTGTTTTGAGAGAAAATTAAACATAAGATACAAAGGCATAATATTATTGTATTTCAACATAAGAAATATAAATTAAATTAAACAGGAAAAATAAATCTAAAACTATGTGGATCGATATCCAATCCAATAGGAGAAATTTCAATTTATTATACATGAAATTATTTTACATCATCCATGGCTTATACTGGATCAACCACATATACATGGCCAAGAATTTGTATCTCGATCCTCAACAATTGTCTCCGGTTCAACGGTGAACCCGTTCTTGATTCTCCGACATTCATGTCAGGGGCGATATGTTTCCGGCGAAAAAATGGACGGCCAGTTTTGATTCATCTATCCACTACCGGCCTCTGAATCACATCTCCCCTTTCTCATATATAATCCCCTGATTCATTCATTCATTCATTCCAGCAGCCTTCGGCGCCGGCCGATCCCAGAATAACGCAGTGATATAATCACGGCAAAGTTTCTTTCCATAATCATGGCCGCCGTCGGCTGCCTTGTCTTCCTTTCACTCCTATCATTCTCTTCCATTTCTCTTGCATTCACCGATGCCGACGCAGAAAACATTGCTCGCCGCCAGCTCCTCCATTTTGCGGCGGAGGTTGATTTTTCCGGCGAAGGGTTCGAGCATAAACTCGACCTGAAGCTTGAGTTTGCGAATGACAGGCAGAAGAAAGCTTATGTAGCTCTCCAGGCATGGAAAGACGCCATATATTCCGACCCAAAAGGGATCACCAAGAATTGGGTCGGCCCAAACGTTTGCTCCTATAACGGCGTCTTCTGCGACCACGCTCTCGACGACCCAACGCAGTGGGTGGTCGCCGGAATTGACATCAACCACAGCGATATCGCCGGCCACCTCCCAACGGAGATCGGGCTGTTGACGGACCTCGCCTTGATCCACATGAACTCTAACAGGATTTGCGGTATCGTCCCAAAGACCATCTCCAATCTGAAACTTCTGTTCGAGATCGATTTCAGCAACAACTGGCTGGTCGGGCCGTTCCCGGACGTGATTCTGGAGCTGCCGTCGTTGAAATACCTTGATCTCAGGTACAACAATTTCGAAGGGGCGTTGCCGCCGTCGCTGTTCGACAAAGATTTGGACGTTATCTTGTTGAACAACAACAGATTAGAGTCCAACCTGCCGGAAAACTTCGGCAACTCCACCGCCTCCGTGATCGTGTTGGCTAACAATAAATTCTCCGGGTGCGTCCCGAGCAGCATTGGCAGAATGGAACAGAGCGTGGAACAGATCCTGCTATTGAACAATGAATTCTCCGGTTGTTTGCCGGAGGAAATCACTTTGCTTAGTAATATAACGGTGTTTGATGTGCAGCGGAATAAACTGGTCGGAGAATTGCCGAAGGGGTTGGGGTATATGCAGAGTTTGGAATCGGCTTCATTTGCGGGGAACATGTTTTCTGGGCATGTTCCTGATGGTCTTTGCAGCTTGCCTAACCTTAAAAACCTGTCGTTTTCCGGGAACTATTTTGAGATGGAGGATGAGTCGTGCCTGCCGCTAAAAGATGGGGTTGCGGTTGATGATAGCGACAACTGCGTTCTTGAACGGCCGGGCCAAAAATTGCCCCAGAAATGCTATGAATATTTGAGCAAGCCTGTGGATTGCAGTAAAACTGGGTGCAGAGCTGCTACTAAAGAGACGCCTAAACCAAAACCACCGGTTTCTTCTCCTCCACCACCACCACCGCCCGTTGCCTCTCCACCACCACCTCCACCGGTCTTTTCTCCACCCCCACCCCCACCGGTCTACTCTCCACCCCCACCCCCACCGGTCTACTCTCCACCGCCGCCACCTCCAGTCTACTCACCACCCCCACCAGTCTACTCTCCACCGCCGCCACCTCCAGTCTACTCTCCACCGCCGCCACCTCCAGTCTACTCTCCACCGCCGCCACCTCCACCAGTCTACTCACCACCCCCACCTCCACCTGTCCACTCTCCTCCTCCCGTGCAATCACCACCACCGCCGGCACCCGCAAAGTCTCCACCGCCACCTGTCTTCGCTGACGTAAAACTGCCTCCAAACTTGGGCGCTGTGTATGCATCACCGCCACCACCGATATTCCAGGGTTATTAAAGGCTTCAACATCGACATCTTATCTCTATACTGTAATATCATTCATAGTCGTTCCAAAGCAACATACAAGCCTGTCTGCAAAAATGTAGTGAATGTTTAGTATTCTGCCGCATATATATGGAGAGATTTTACCTCATTCTAACTTTCGTGCATGATCTATGAGTGACACACAAATACCAATTAATGCATGTGATCATAATTTGGTAATAACGACACAAAGAATAAAGAATCCAATATAATACACCCCGCGTGGGTCTTAGCTAAATGTTTAAATTCTTGTTTCCAAAATGTTGAATCCTCAACTTTACTTATTGCTTATGAGGAATCTCATTATCCCCTAATTGTTCATACATGTATTGTTACTGGTAAAAGTCATTGTTCTCAAACTTCACATGCCATATTCTTATTGGGGACAATTGGACAAGTTTTATATTTTTACCGATCGAGCATTCATACTTGCATACATTTGGTAGTGTGATTGCTGGTTTCCTTTTTCACCAACAAAAATTAATTGATTTAATTCTCTCCGTACTTGAATGTGTTCTGTTGATTTTTAATGCATCAAATAATAATAATAATAATAATAATAATAATAATAATAATAGAGTTGATATTTTAGTTATAAGTATTTATTGTTATGCATCCATTCAATAACAAGCTTTATTCCGTATATTTGTTTTAACGAATTAAATATGGAGTATACTAATAAAGGCAAAATCTACAAAGTACAAATAAAATTTTGTTTTCTTTTCATTTTATCCAAGAAAATAAAATAGCTCAATAGAATATGTGTATTGAACCACATACAAGTTTTATAAAAAATCATGCTTTTCCAGATCAGATCGAAGTAGACGAAGGGTTAAGTGTTGAGTGGGAATCCGGGGCTCCGGTGGATGCCGCGGATTCTAATATTATTATTATAATAATATTATGTCCGAGGCACCTGTTTAGACCGGAGACTCGGATCCTAATATTATATCTGCGTCACCCTTTCCTAGTTGTTGTCTCGGATTCGCATATTATTATTATAATAATAATCTTTTCGAGGCACCACTTTGTAATTGGTGCCTCGTAAAATTCTCCTTTTTTCTATATAAGACACCTTTACCTTAAAGGTGTAGTGGAAAACACTACTTATATTTCTAATTCTGTAGTAGTGAAAGATAAGTTTATGTAATTAGGAAAACTTTTTGCAATTCCATGTAACAACATAAGCAATTAATTATGTTAATAACATAGGGGAAAAAAAGATGAATTGTTGTTAAATTATAAAGAATTTATAAGTGTATGTATAATAAAATGAGTACAATATATAAATTATTATTGTATGTCAAGCGTTGTCTATTTGTGAACATATTAAGAATTGTCCGTCGAGTGATTTAGTCCTTCATTTTATTTTGTTGTCGGAAAGAAAATTAATATTTATTTGAGTTAATTATGAATGTATCATTTCTAATTTTAATTTTAGTCATTGACTTTTAAAACTATCAAATTAAGTCATGGAGTATTAATTCATATACAATTGTAATTCATTATGGTTGTTTAATAAGAAAATGAGGGGTTTGTTTAATTTCCGGCATGTGATAAACAATTAGCACAATGATCATGACTTTTTAATTTTAACAATTCAATATTAGTAGTTCATAAAAGAAAAAGCCAACGATAAACAATTAGACATGATGCAATAGTTATGAACTAATTTTGGTAGCTTTTAGGCTATATTTGATAGAACTTGTATCTTATTTTAAGTTACAAATAAATTATAAATTGTAGAGATGAAAGGGTCAAATAGGCCCCTAAACTTTACCCCAAAGGTTAATTAGGCCCATAAACTTTTAAAAAATTCAATTAAACACTCAAACATGTCAAATTGTGTCAATTAAGCTAAAAAACCAGTAAATGACATGTCATTATAGGTCATTGCAATTCCGGCCACCGGCGACAATTTCCGATCGTCTTCCACTGGAGAAGACGACCAGACAGCCGCCTTCTCTAAGCAGACGGCCGTCTGCCGCCTTCTCCAAGCAGACGACCGCTTGCCGCCTTCTCCATTAGAGAAGACGACCAGACTGCCATATCTAGTCGTCTTCTCCACTGGAGAAGGCGGCCGTCCGGTCTTCCACTCACGACCGGACGGTCGGATTTTGTCGCCGGTGGCCGGAATACGTCATCGAAATTGAAATGATATGTAATAACAAGTCATTTACCAGTTTTTGGGCTTATTAATTGACCCAATTTGACATGTTTGAGTGTTTAATTGAACTTTTTTAAAGTTTAGGGGCCTAATTGACTTTTGGGATAAAGTTTAGGGGCCTATTTGACCATTTTCTCTAAGTTGTATTTGGTAAATCATGAATAGTCTAAAGTAATAACTCATTTTAAAACACTGTCATAAGTAGCGTTTCAAAATAAGTTAGTAACTATTAGTTTTAAAGTTTTAAACTATCTTATAAGCTAAGAGCAATCTCATTAGATGAGGATTTTATTTGATTTTTGCAAAGATAGCTAGCAGAGAGAACATGGAGTCTGGGAGAGATAAGGGAAAGAAGAAAAAAAAAAAAAAACAACACGGGCGCGTGCAATCAATTGTGCGTGACACATAATTGAGGAGAAAGAAATTGTTTTTTGTGGGACAGTAAGTCCCACCAAAAATCAATTCTTGCAGGGTAGTCCCAACCTTCTCTCCACTCATCTTTTTCTTCCACATGGGTAAAAAAAAAAACTGCAAAAATCTCTCTAAAAATCACAAATTGAGAGGCTATAAGTATATGCCAAATAGAACATTAAAAATCAAGAACTAAGATTATAAATAACTAAAATAAATGATAGTGGGTTGACTACATCTGAAATTAACTCTATAGATTTTTATATAATTTGTAAGGTTAGATGTTCTAGTTTCATAATGGAGCAAAATTTTGGATGCAGTAGAAATTGAAGGATTTTTTTTAAACGATTAGTTGAAATTGAAGCGACACGACGTCGCATTTATCCTGCTAGCAATGAAACGCACATTGAACCAGATTTCGTATTCCATTTCGTTTCGATGCGATGCAACTACCAACCACTGAATGCAAGGTGGCATTTGAATCTTCACTGAATAACCAACAAGGAACATGATGGTATTACTTTCTCTGTGATTTTGTTAATATCCAAAGAAAAATCTAGTTCAGAGATATGGCGGATAAAATGACCGAGTCTTCCAATGAAGAACAGATAACGTTTGTGCAGGAAGAAGTTGAAAAAGAGGCTGAAACGAAAACGGCAGATTCGGCAAACGAATCACAAGCTGAACTACCTCCGCCACAGGATAACAGCGATGGAGGATGGGGTGGTTGGAGTTTCTCGGCGATCTCGTATATATCCGACTTTCAAAAGGTCGCTGCCGTCGCTGCCGAAGAGATCTCTCGCAATGTACGTCTTTCCATCTCATGTTACTGTGTGCGTGGCGATTTTCTAAATTTGTAAATAGTTTGTTTGACGCTGGAAATGCCTAGATTCTCCAAACTGTGAGTAATATTCACAACATTTTTTGAGATGAATTATGAGATCTGTTAAATCATCACCAAATACTGGATATCATATCTTGTGTCTCGATGGTGCCTTTTCAATTATTTACATTCCCAGGTTGGTTTCAGTTGTTTGTTCATTTATTGTGTAGGCTGCCGAGGCTGCTAAAACAGCTGCAAAGAGCATTTCTGAAATACAGAACACGCTTGAAGACGCTGAATCTCATAAAGACGATCAAGCTGAAACATCTGCAGTGGAGGAGCAAAGTAAAGACGAAAATGACATACGGCGACAGGCTGCTTTGGAAAAATTAGAGAACGCTAGTGAAGATTCCTTCTTTGGTCAGGCAAGTTACAGCGAAACGGACTAAGATGTAGCTGTTCATTTGCAAAATATAGGGATTGTGCAGTGCCCATTCACTAACTTTTTTATAGGCATAGATTTTAATTATTTTCCTAACTAGTTTGATATGGCCGTAGTTTCAACCTTTAAACCATATGTGCAGCACTTGAAGGTTATTGACAATTCAGTTGAGAGTTTTGCTTCAGGAGCTTGGCAAGCATTAGGAAATGCAATCAAAGGAGGTTCCGATTTTGTCCACAAGTACATTTAATTACATTGAGATTGCAGATTATAGCATCCAAATTATTGACTTTGCTGTCCATTTATTTATTATTTTATTTTAATTTCTAAGTTTGGGAATTTATTTCATTGCTGAAATACCATATGTGGTTAACAAAACAATGCTTTGCCATGTTTTTCAGACTTGAGGAGTCCATTCAGCAGAGTAGTTCACCTGCAGCAACTGGTTCCGTTGCACCTTCCATACTAGAGGTCTGCACCATACATCATTAATTTTTATTTTGCTTTAGAGGCTGCTGCTTATACTAGGGCTATTTTACAGACAGGAAAAGCTTATACTGCCAAGGGAATGCAAGTGCTTGAGCAACTGGGGAAAGAAACTTTGGATCTTCTGATCTCAGAAACTGATAAACATACCAAAGAAGCCGAAGGAAATATAGATGAATCTCAGTTTGAAGAAGTATCATTTGATCGGTGTTTCTATATTTATGGAGGTCCAGACCAATTGGAGGTCAGTTACTTCTGTTTGCTGTTATATCTTGAGGTACATTTCTTTGGTGCATTCAACTTTGAAAATGTTGTTTATTCACAGGAGTTGGAGGCATTCTCCAACCATTATGCAATGTTATTTAACCGAAGGAAAGTGAAGCTGGCGTCTGAGCAAAGATCTATTTATGATGGAAAGCTTAAACAGGTGCAGCAAATTTTTGACTTGAGTTCTAAAATAAATGGAAGTGTAGAGTCAGAGAAAGGGAAACAAGTAGAGGCTGGAAATGAGGACAGTGCAGACGAGATAAAGAATTTACATGATTCCAGTGTGAGGAGAGCTTCAGAATTAGCGGTTGGGTAATATATGCCATAAACATATTGAAAGTTCTTTCTTTTTCTTCTTGTTTTTTTGGTAGAGGGGTAAGTGGTGGAAGGGTTATCGCATATTAATCATAAGTTTCTTTTCAGCATGCAATCTGGGTAGTTTTTGTTGCATATTATGATTGGATGTTTGGCAAAGAAAACATATAATTTTTGGTCAACTTCTTTTCAAGTTAAAAAAAA